TTTGTGTCATCATTTTTCAGGATTTATTAGAGAAAAATCATAGTGTCTCATGAGATCTGCATTTCTTAAAAAAAAGGTTTTAAATATTAAATAAAATTCATAAAATCTGATGAAGTAAAAATCGTTCTTATTTGTTCTGAAAATTATTACAACTTGAAAATATTATAATTAAATTTTTTTTTTACATTTTAGATATTTTAAATATTAACCTAACCAAAGTTAATTAAGCAAACAATGGGCGAATACTTATAAGCCAAATTTTATTCTTTATGTTTTTTATTAACCACAAATTTTTCGTTTTAACTAATGGAATATTTAGTTGGAATTTTTTAAATAGAGCAATAGATTAATTCAAGTTAAATGTATAATTTATTACAACCTTATACTTTTATCTTTCAGTTTTTCAAAAAATCATTACATTTATTAGCAGTGAGCAATGTCTGTTTTGAAGAAATATAACAAAGTATTTATTTTTTAAATAATTAAGGAAAACTATGTCTTAACTATTAATAAACTGTTTTTAAGAAAGCTACAGAAATGTTTAATTTATACCTTATTAAAACCTGCATTTGAAATTATATTTTTAATTTATTTATATGTATTTTGGAAAGTAAAAGTTTAGCAATGTCTTATTTACAAATACCTTAGTTATGAGTTTTAATTCTTCTGTCTCTTATAGAACTTCAAAAAATTACCAATGTCTTAAACTTTTATTAGCAAATTATTAAGTATGCGTTCACAAATTTAACTTCATGAGTTTAATATTTAAATGATCATATGGTGTAATATTAACTGAAATATTTTTAGAATTTTAATACTTAGATTAATTTTCATAATAAGTAAATTCTACGAATTTCAAACTTGAGCAACCAAAAACAATGTTTTTTGTTCAGAACGTAAAGCTTAAAGAAATTTCTTAAGTATATATTTAAAGTATAATCTGGTAATTAATGCTGATTTAAATTAATTGCAACTGATTCGATTTAAACTAGCTTAATAAATGTGGTTCATTTCCTTTGTTAAAACATGGCATTATTATTGATATATTAACACAATTATATCTAACATATTTATACATATCAGCTAATCTGAACTTTTTATTTTTGTGAAATAACTTACGTCTTCTAGACAATTTACTCACTTTAAAATAGCGTTTTAGAAAAAATACATTTAAATAAATTTAACCTAAGTAATCAAATCTAGGCTAATTAATTAGAGTAGGATTTCGATTAAGTGGAATAATAGGACAACTTTTATTTTAACAAAAAAAAACATTTAGAATAGTAGGCTTTAGATTACAGATCATCGAACTGTAGAGAAGATAAAAATCTATGATCAAAATTCTAAGGTAACCCCCAAAAGAGTGGCTAAAATTTCTCTTTGTTAATTTATTTTCTGCCATAAATAGCAAAGAGCAAAGTATATTTGCAATTTTAACCTTTTAAGTCTCGTTTAATTTAAGATGATTTAATTATTTTTATTTTTTAATATTTATGAATTGTGTTAATTAAAGATAAGTTAATATTTATTAATTTAATAACGCTGTAAAAAGTTTCAACATATAAAGTATATATGTTTCCGTGCCTCTCTTGAGCAGCAAATAATTCGATTACATTAGTTAAAGCCTTTAAATTCCAAAGAAACCTTTTATTACTATTAAGTAAAAACTTATTACGGGTGTAAAAGATGTTTTGCACTTTGCTAAGCTGAACATAAGTGCTTGTTGATAGAAAGCTTACATTTAGAAGGAAAAAAAGTTTAAGTTGAAAAGATTCTTCATCTGTCGGTAACAACTTAGATGCTATGTGTGACGAATGAACTCGAAGCTATCGACTACCTATTAAAATAAATTTAATTATATAGTCTTAAGACTGAAATCGAATGAAATTAGCTCTATCATAAGAATTAATGTTGAAAACCGAGTATTTTTACACAAATTATTGTTGGTAAAAGGTTTACATTGAAAAAAAATAAGAATTATGCATTAGCAATATCATTAAATTTGCTCTATTATTGTTCCGATGCGAATTTTTTTTTTCAGAAGCTATAGACTACCCTATCTCTTTCACTATTGTTTCTATCAAAATTATCTCTAATTATGTAGTTTAAAAAAAAGCCAAATGATATTGATATTTTTTTCTGATTTAAGTGGTAATTCTGATTTCTTCCGATAAGTATAGTAACTTAAAAATTTTAAAGCTTATATAAAGTAAATCATAAATGTCATTCGGCTGATGATAGCATGATATGATAAGTATTGCTCATAATAAACATTTTATACCATTTTTTGAATAAAATTGCATTATATTTTCAGTTGTAAGTTCCGTGACACGGTTTCAGAAGTGAGTTCTCGGAAATGTTTTCCCTTTTTAATGATTTTACGCAAAATCATTTATTTATAAAAAGAACTCGACTCTGTTAATCCATGATAAAACTGACAGAGTGTTTCAACTCTTCAAATGAGGTGACTGTTTAAACTGCTTTTATGATTTCCTCTTCTTAAAATTAGGGCTTAAATTTAAAAACCTATTGCGATGTCCATCATTATTATACCTAATGTACGCACAACCTATATAAACCATTGGAGATTGACCTAATTTGAAAAATTGAAAAGTACTGCAATGTTATTTAAAAAATAAAATTGTTAATTAATCCAAAATAAATCTAGAATGGTGTCTGAATATGGGATACTACTAAGTATAAAATCATATTAAAGGCGCTGATTCCAATTGCAATAACATTGAATCATGGTAATTTATACAAAACTTTATGATCAAAAAGAATCTTTAAAACACAAAAACGTAGATGACTGGGCCCATGTACAAGAGATAGTGGATTCAATCCCCGCCGACCAAAGACTCCCCATGTAGTAAATGGAGACATATGCACGTTAAATCTGTCGAGTCACAAAGTCCTCCATGTTCCCATTGCAAATCATACCTCTGGGAGTACTGATCCAGGAATTTCCTTGTATTCTGGATTGGTTCAAAATTACAAGTCTACAGAGTTGAACATTTGTAGTCGTAAACCCAAAATTGCGTCTTCTGTTCAACGACTATTATAAAATAAAATAAAATCACTCGCACTTGAGACATGGTGGCTCAGAGAATAGAACGTTTGTCTTTCAATGAGGTGACTCAGGTTCTAATCCCAGTGTTGGCTAATTGATGCGAATACTTCTCCTGATCACAGTGCTGAAGTGAAATATCCGCAGTGCTTGACGGATCATCAGGTAGAATCACCTTGACGTTGTTAAGATCTTCATGGCTTTCCTCACCATGTAAAGAAAATGTGGGTTTGCTCCATTAAAAATTCCTCTGCGAAGAGTTTTTCCCATTGCTTAATCCGAAATTTCCCTTGTCTTCCGGGTTGGATTCAAAATTACAAGTTTACGGAGATTAACGTTGATAGTTGGAAACTCAGAATCGGATTGGCTACTCAACACCAGTTATAAAACAAAATATAATTACTAACATTTTACTAAAAAATGAAACATTTTAATGTCTTAACAAGGAAAAATTTTCAAACATCATCTATGCTTGTATTACAGCCAATAGAAGAGACTTTTATTTTCTTACTGTCATCTTCACATGTGTTTCAGATTGATTTTGCTGGATTACGCCATATTCTTTGACTACAAATACGGTGTCGTTCGAGAACTCGTGCATAGTTTATACCTTTCCTCAGCATATAGATAAAAATTTCGAAAACAACAATAAAAATCTCAAGTAATTTATATAGAATTGTTTCCATAATAGTTTTGAATATCATTTGATTGCAGAGAGAGGCCGAGGAAGAGGAAATGGTAGTGGACGCTCGTACAGTCACAGCAGTATGGAGCTCCTTACAGGAAGGAATTATTTTAGTGGATCAGATGGAGAATTGGAAGTCTCGGCCAATGATATTGTATATCCGCCTGGAGCTATATCTGTAATGAACTCAGTGACACCTACATCAGCTCCAGGTATTAAATTTACTCTCACTGTACTATAAATTATGCCCTTGAGTAATTTTAGACAATGTAGATTCCAGCTATATTTGAACTATATGCATTTTGAATTATTTCAAATGATTTTAATGAATTTCAATGAAATTATTTCAAACCGAATAGATTAATGAAATAGTTTGTAACAGATCAGATTACTTACTTTAAATGAAACAAGTTACTAAAACTATTTTCAATTCATTGGAACTGTAACATTGGATTTGTAGTAAAGTTTATACTTATTGTTCCTCGCAAGTTGAAATATTAAGAACATTTTCAATATATTACATTATCAAGTTTATTTAAAAAATTGTATTACTAAGATAATTTTTATCATATATTATTTTAAAGATAATTTTAAACAAACAAATGCGATCTTTTCTGTGACTTCGATATTCAAGATTATTTTCATTTGATCAGATTAATACAATTAATTTTAATTGAATTGTTTAACCTGATTATTTTCAACTTTTTAGATTATTAATATTTACTTCTACAGAATATAGTAATAGGGTTACTTTAAACAAAATAGATAACTTTGGAGTGAATAGATCTTTAACATTATATTACACCACACAGACGGTTATAATTATTTTTAACTTAACAGTAGATAATGAAAGATGAGTAATGCGAGTTACATCAAAATAGATTATTTACAAAAGAAATTAATCTAATTTAAGAAATGATTTGCAATTCAGATGGTTAAAGCGATTTAAAGCAAAATAGATTTTTAACACTCTCATCCAAGGAAAGATAATTAAGATTACTTTAAACAAAATTCTTTGAAAAATAATGAATTTTATTTAGAGATATTAATGGAATAGACAATATAATAGACTAAATTCAAGATATTAAATTATAAAGAGATTATATTATTAAGGCAATTCAGAGACATAATATTAATAATTATTTCCTAAAATTAAAATAAATTTTTTTAACTATTTAAACATTATACAGTCACTATTATGATAGTAGAATAAACTGAAAAACTTATTATCCAATATTAGTTATACTATGTTTAGTGGTATTAACCATACTAACGGCTTACAACATTTAACTTCAGAGCAAAAAGACGATGATCTGTAGCTGCTCAAAATATTTTGGAGGTGCTTTGGGATATCCTTTATACATTCAATGAGAAGGATAATCGCTTATTAAATAATGTTATTAGTGTATGTTTAAACTTTTAATTTTTATGCAATTACCAAAAGGATGAAAGGAGAAAAGTATTTTAAATACGTTAAATGATGGTATAACTAGTTTTTTTGAAGCACAATATCTATATAAAAATATGTTTAAATAGTAATAATTAATATTCGTGCAACTAAAGTTTCAATTAGAGTTATTCCTTGTTTGTTTCTTAAAAAGCTGATTTGGGATATTTTCTGAAAAATACAATATCTGTTACTTTTTTTAAATCGTATTTCACGATTGAAATATATAGACATAAATTTCAAGAAAAATTACTTACAGAGAATCAATATTATTAGTGATAGCCCTATGTTTTACATTACATAATAAATAGAATCTCATTTACACCTAAAAGAAGTCTTATTTATTATATAATTATTTTATTTTTGTATAGAAAAGTACTTAATGCATACATAAACTTTTCATAAAAACTTAAAACATAGTTGTTTAAATAAATAAAAAATATGTTGCTCAAACAGAGAGAGGAATCTTAAGCATTTTGTGAACAATTTCAGTAACATATGACGAATATACCATTCCATAAAGATAACTTATTTATTATTTTATTTTAGATATCTACTTATAAAAATTGCTTTATTACTTATTTTAATAAACCAATCTTAAATTAAGTTAAAAATGCATTTTATATGCATTTTAATATCATTTAGGAAAATGCATTTTAATATCATTTAACTATACGCTTTTAATATTTTAATAGACATACAAATGAACTATAATAACATTCATAATTAACAAACATACAAATTAACGATAATTATTTATTGTTTTTCTTACAAATTTTAGATACTTGTATTAACGCTATTTTCAAAAGAAAAGGAAGACTAAGATTGTTTATATACTAATGGTTTTAGTTTATTCTTAAAGCAATAAATCGTTAACTAAAACACAATCTGTACAAATATCTATATTTATTTCTCTTCTTTAAATAATTATAGCTATAAATTTTATCTAACTCCGTATTCTAGTGCAGCGATGAATATTTTTTTCATTCTTTTATTTTTATTTCAATTATTAGCAGCAATTCTTAACAAATTTTATATGGAACTTGTTTTTAAATTCAGCTAATGCAACAGATAACAGTTGTTCACTTAATACTAAGACAAATGTTTTTGCCAAAAATTAGTTTAGTCGAATGTATTACTAATACGTCTACTTTTTAGATAATATTTTTCTACCTTGGTATTTTTCACATAATTGTTCATCTTCTTTCTGTTTTACGGGAATTAACAGTTGTTTCTCGCTTAGATCTACACTAGATTTATTAATATTTTCAGAAATTCGATAGTTTTTCAGTTCTCTTTAATCATGACATTTTGCTTTGTATATTTTTGAGTATTATAAATATGAATACTTGACCATAAAATGAATTTAAGGAACACTCCAAAATAATTACGGATCAAATTACGGTATGAAGTTCGGACATTTTGTGTGCATCATCCGTGAAATCCATTATGCCATGAATTCTTTTTTTTGAGATAAAATATTATGCAGTAATTTTTACAGTAATATTTATTTATTTAATTAGAGTGATTCAGTAATTTAACGGTAACTTTTACGGTAAAAAGTACCGGCATCTTTCTTCCTTTGTAGTTTAAGTTTTCAAAGTGTACCATATTAGTTGGAAACGCTTGAATATTACGAATATCAAATAGAAATATTATATAAATTGTGATTTAATTTGCCAACATGTGCTTACGTACTATAAAGCTATCTGTAAAATCTGACTTATGTACAATTTTTTAAAAGATAACTTATAATTAAACCCCAATTCAACACACATAAAATAATATAAAGTTAAAAAATATCTACTTACTCATTTTATCTTACACATTCGTAAAATTTAAATATTTCTGCAAAACGAATAACTATTCTAAAAACTAAGGAATACTAACTGTAATGCTCTTAAACAGAGAAAAAAATTGTGGTCAAAAATATTAGAATATGGTGCAATTCAGCATTTTTCATGTTCTCCCAAACCCTAGATGATTTTTAAAATATATACTATATTTACATATTTTTATAAATCGTTAAATAAAGTAAAATTTAATTCTTTTATCATAATATCTTAGTACGTTAATTTCACAAAATTGCTTTGTCCCTGCATATTTGTTACACAACTGCAAGATTCGGCTTCTTCGTACACATGCTTGTTTGTCATGTACCTAATTTTATATATTTTTCTAAAAACATCTTTCTTTTGCAGGAAAATATAATGCATATGGTTCATTGCCTAGACAGCCGAACCAAGGTGGTGTTAGGGATCAATCACAGGTATCCAATAAACAAAATCAACAACCTCAGGGAGGTAGAGAATCTAGAAGTGGTTCGACCACAGGTCTCCAAGGGAATAACGCTAATTCTTCGAAAGGCAGAATGTCACTTTCATTAAGAAGAGGTCCATCTTCATCTTCCACTTCGGATAATAACTCCGATGCTACATTTACTGACACAGAATTCAATGCTAGAAGGCAAGGTGGATTGCAAAGCCAAAGTGGTAAGAAGTTTTTTTAAACAATGTTTTAACAGCGAAAATTCCTGCTTGTTATTTTTTATTCAATTAAAACCAATAATATATTTTTTGCTTAATATAGCATTGATTTAGTTATAATATAGAGGAAAAATCAGTTGCATTAATGCTAACATTGATTGATGCATTGATTTTGTCTAATTCGGGTGTAGGGACTTCAAATCTGAAACTATTGCTCCTAATTCTACCCTTTTTATTGACCTTTTTTGTCTATTTTTTGTCGAAATGTAGAAGTTTAATAGCGTTATGACTATAAGAATGATTTTTAATCATCATTGTTGTTTGATGCTTCTTTTGAAACCTTTGCTTTTCTTAAAGTGAGTATGCTTGAATGGGTTTGCATTTCTCATGCTAGACGTGATTTATCCAATGATTGGTTAACTCTTTTTGTGGTAGACAGTCACAAGTCACATTTGACTAAAATAACTAGTGTAACTAGTATTTTAGTCAAATGTTCCCAGCTTACACTACAACTAGTGTAAGCTGGACCTAAGATTCTGAAATTTGTACTCTTGAGTTGCATATTAAATGAATAAATGTTTGTGTATTTAAATAATGTAATACTTGCGTACTTTAATAGATTTATTGCTCTAGACCAGGATTCTATAAAAAAATAATAACAATATAATTTCAAACATATACATTCATCTTTCTTCTAATGATGCAAAAATAATCATTAATCCGTTTTAATTTTATTTTTATATTTTTAAAATTTGAAATATATAATTAAGTTAATATTTAGTTATTATTGAGTAAACTAATTTGTGAATGAGCTGATATGACTCAGTGGTAAAGGTACGGAATGGTCATTGTGAAGAACTAGGGTTTGATCCCAAGTTGCGGCCTGAAGCCCACCTAGCTTCAAATCGATGAGACTTGTCTTGGAAGTAAGGACGGTACTGTGCGTAGTGCTGAACGCATTGTCACAATCATGTGGTTAGACACAAAATAGTGGAGCCTTAACCTCCACAACCTCTATGGACCCACAAGGTGATATTGCGCTAAGGCTTTACTTTTTAATTTGTAAATAGTAATTAGTTTATAGAAATAATAATAGATAAATTGCATTCAGTATAATTCAATACGTATTGCTTATTAATATTAACAAAATACAATAGGTATAAATATTAAATAATTTTAAATAAAAAAAAATTTACAATTATAATAATTTAATAATTTAATCTTATTAAATAATGTTAAATATATAAAATTTTTAGTGACATTAAAATTCTTAAAAATATAAAACTTTATACAAAATTTAAAAGTCAAGGTATTAGTTTATTTTTAAATAATAATTTAGTAGCAAAAAAACGTGAATTATTGATGTTCAGACATATTAAAAGTAATAGCATGTTTTGATATGAGATTTGAAGTGTTGCCTCTCTAAGAGCGAGATACAGAATGAAATGACATTCGTTGCGAGATAAATTTTAGACTCTCGCTTCTGCCACTACTTCAAATGACGATACATAAATAAAATATTCAGTGCTTCATATTTCAACCTCCAGCGTTTCGTGATTTAAAATGTAGTTTTAAGCATTTTTCACGCTACCTAATTTGTCATATTTTCCTCCGGACAAGTCACATGAAATTCTAAGTTTTGGGGACATATCGTGTACACAGTCGCTCTTTTTTTCAAATACTTTCTATTTTAAGAGAGTGGCAGTGAAATGGAAATTTTGTAGCAACGTCTAAGTTGGTTTCTTTAGATTATTGATAAAGATTAGGGATTTATATTGAATAAACACAAATTAAATAGCAAAAAAAGTACTTTTACTATTAAAGTTCTCACAAAAACTCTTTTATCTTAGAAAGCAACTGATATTTGAAAGTGATAGATAAATACGCTGTGTATATGATTTTTTAAGTATATGACTATGTATATATGACTTTTTAAGTATTTATGACTTTTCAAATGATATGAAACTTTTAGATTAACTAGACGTTAATAGGAAAAATAAATTGGATACAATTACCATAAAATAGTATCGTGACTTGCATTAGCAAACCACCTTTTCTTACTGTCTCAATTGTTAGAGGTGAGAGATTTAAGTAAATAATACGAAGAAACTGAAACCGTTAGAAATTATTTGATTAAAAATTTTATACGCTTCAACAATAAATAAATTCGAAATAACAGACAACATGTTCCAAGAGATCAAAAACAGGCGTCCAAAGACATTTCAAATCACTTTTGTTTCTCTTTATTCACGTCTAGCAAGTCTTGAAAATGGGCGCTCTTTTTTGAGAGCTTGAAACTTGTCTACTATTATTTCCAATTTATATATTGTTAAAAGGAATGAAGTTTTTAATCAAATTATAACTTTAGATAAAACTTGAAAAAAAAGCTTTTCATGGTTTTGTGACAATAATTCTTACATGGTGCTACCAAAAACTCGAACAGACAATTTTTAGCATTACTTCATAAATATAAATATATTAACAAAATATGAAAAAATGGCAAGCAATTAGAGTATACTTAGTTTGTAGGTTTAATTGGTTTCAAAGTGACAATCTTTGGCAGTGATGCAGAGGCAGAAACGTTTATTGAAATTGTCTGCTAAGTGACGTAAGTTTTCTATCTTTAATATATCCCGCTACCTCAGAAGCGATTGTTTTGGAGAGTTCAAACTTTTACGTACGACGATTATGTATAGAGTAATCATTTCATTTTCATTGCTTAAACAACACTTAGACAGCAGATTTTTTACTTTACATTTTAAAAAAGCCAAATAGCAATACATAAACTGAGAGATAGATTATAAATTATTTTATTTTTAAAGTGAAAAAAAAGAAGTGGACTCTCAAAAGAAAATAAACACACAAAAAGAAATGGACACTCAAATTAAAAAGAAATAATTTAACTTCTGTTCTAGGATGCAATAACTTTGTCCGAGTACCTTTTAGCCACACTCTGTAGTATAAGTATAAACGTACCTTTTATGTACAGTAAAAAAAGAAAGGAAAAAAAAATTACTTGCAGCTGTTTTGTTTAAACAGATTACTTTCACTATTTTTCCAAAAAGATTGCGACCCATTTCTTTAGGTAGAAAACAGAGTGATACATTTTAAGCCAAACACTTTGGCTGATACATTTTACAATTTCCTATATAATAAAGTAATAACAAATGTGTTATCTGAAGAATAATATAATTAAAAGAGGCATCGACTTCAATAATTCGGTGCTAAAATAAATAATGTAAATAATAAGCAAAAAGCAGAATTCAATTTCTTCAAAATCTATTACTTTTACATAACCAAATAGATTTTTTTTCCTACTTAAGTATAGATATACTTCTCTGCTAGCTGTAGAGTCACTGCAATCTTTTTCGTGAATATTATTCGAGCTCGGAAAAAGTTTTCTTTATTCAAAACGAAACACATTTTAAATCTTTCGCAAGGATCAAGAAATCCAATTTACAAGCAGGCTTTAGGTATGGAAGCAAAGCTGTATTTTTTAGTTGTCGACGAGACTGACACAAAAATATCCATAAGGTTGACAAAGAAAACAGAGAAAACAAATTTGTTAACAAGTCACTCGGAAAGAGATATATTTATTTCATTCGTTTCCATTTTTTGAACAGAAACGAAAAATACTCTTTCGACGCTTTAATAATATTTTTTTTTTCTTCTGAGTCTTTCTTCTCTTGGGATTGGAAAGTATTAAGAGCAAATAGGAGCTTTTGGTAACAATGTTTGTAGCAATGAATAATTGAATTTACTGGCGTGTTTCTATCAAAAGAAAAATAAATTGACTACAAAAAAGAATGAAAAGCAGAAATTCTAGTTAGTTTTTAGTCTACAAGGAGATACTTTTAATCGAACTTCATGTTTCTGTTACACAAAACATATATTTATTTTTATTTAATTTCTCATGTAGTTTTGTTTTTTAAACATTTTATTTGGCGGTAAATTACTCAAGACTTTTTTGAAATTCTTTTTAAAAACGAGTTCTAAATATAATCCCATAAAATTTAATCTAAATATTGAATTATTTCGATTAAATATCCGTATTGTTCACAATTATTTAGATTGAGATTTTCTATTATTTTTTTAGAGATATATAAGCATTAAAAATAGAAAATACATTAATCTTTATAGTTGATTCAAAATTTTTTTGCAGAAATGTATAAACGATTAATCTTTTGTTGGAAATATTTTTAAGCTTAATATTTTTATTAACAAAAAAAAAAGAGCGTGATCTAAATTTTAACTTGGTTTAATGCTTCTTATCAGACAAATCTGATTAAAAATATTTAACTCGCATAATAGATTTTGATTTTAAAATTTATTGATTTTAAGTGTTAAAATGTATTCAAATCAATAAAAACAAACTTATTTTGCGATTTTTTTTTAAAAAAAAAGTAAACTGATAATTAACAGATTTATTTTTTTAAGTAATGTGAAATAGAAGTTCGAAATAGAAAGATTTCAGGAAAGTGCAGGATGCAGCTAAAAATTTGGTTCACATAGTAAGTCCATGGTTACAAATATCAAATGCATTTGAACCTCAGAAGAATGAATCAGACCATCTTTTGCCACTTGTTTTGCTTTGTTGATGGATTTCACGACGTTTATTACTTTCATCTACGGTTCATATGAGGAAATAAAGGAAGAAATGAATGAATGGAAGAAAAAGAAAGAAAAAATGAATCTGAGAATTGGTAAATTTGCTTAAACCTTGATGGTCAGGAGTATATTCTCAACCCAAAAGACCGCGTGGGTTTCAGTTTTGCATAATTCAATTTCTTATACTTTTAATGGATTTATCTTACTTGGTCCTTCGACGATTAATTGTAAAATGTTATTTGCAAATAATTGAAAAAAATATATTAAGTTACAAATTGCAACCCAACTGTCAATTACTGAATTTCATTTTTTAATTCATATTTTTAATTTTTTTTTCTTACATGCTAGTTAGTTCCGTCAATAGTGCTCATTATACTTCATATATCAAAAATTGTTAA